TTATAAATAGCTGTCTACTCAAGATACTCAACATCCATTGGCCGGATACCATCAGCAATAGCCTTCTGTGGGAGAGAACAAACCATACATTACGCAAATCGTCAAACTGCGTCACGAGACAAGCCCCAACTTGGAATTCTGAAGGGAAGCAGAAAAGAGGAAGGCCAAAGAACACATTACGTCGGATAATAGAAGCAGATATGAAAAGGATGAATTACAACCGGAAGGAGCTGGGAAGGATTGCCCAGGGCAGGGTTGGATGGAGAATGCTGGTGAGCAGCCTATGCTCCTTCACGAGGAGTAACAGGCGTAAGTAAGTATCCTGGATTTGGTTCTGAATCATTTAGTGCTTTTTCGTTGGTTAGTGTGAAACAAAAGTGTTCACCAAATAGTTCCGTAACAAGCTTAGGATCTTCGTATATTTGTTTGTCTTTAATGAAAATATGCTCCCTCTTGATTTAGAACGTTTAGGTTTATTTTGAAGGAGTATGGTGAGTGCAGAGGAGTTATTATTAAGTTCGACTGCACGTTTTTCCTGTGTGACTGCTCTTTGTGTACTTATTGCCTCTGCATGGACAAATATTACAGTTATCGTTACTGAAAAGGAAAAGTCATTAAAGCTGTGAAGTCGAGTACAATGTCTTTAAAGACGTCTTCTTGTACCGATTGGTATATAGAGGTCTTTAGAGAACGTAGGTCTACATTATCCTAAAGGTGCGATTTTGTTGAGGGTACTTCTGATGTTGAGATAAAATATGTTGGTTAGTGTGTTGGTGTCGTTTGCAGTAAATAACGTTCTCCAATCAGTGCTTCTTAGGTAATTGTGGAAGTTATTCCAATCAATCTTGCGATAGTTTCTACGACGTGTTACGGCTTTACGTCTACCGGCTGTGGTTTTTATATTAAGGCTGCATATGACAATGTTATGATTATTACCTGGAAACGTTTTTCCAATATACACAGTATTGGGGATGAGGCCGCTGGTAAAGACTAAGTCCAAGATGTTTTGATGTCTGGTAGTGCTATTGACATACTGAGTTGGTTGTCCAAGCTCTAGACATTGGATAAGTGATTCATAACGTTTCAGCGCCTTGATTGAGAACCAAGAAATTTCGGGCAAGTTGAAGTCACCACAAATAAGCTTGCCTGTGAATGGAATGGATGTTGGAAGTGTGAATACCTTTGATAACACTGTTGATGCGTGAGGTTGACTGTAAACACAGCCGAACGGTAAGGTAACGGGATTCGACGGCTTTGATACAATCCACACCTAATCCTTCAATTTGTTTAGTTCAGGCATATCACATAGTAGTGATTATAGGCTAGAGTGGGCGTAAATAAGGCATCCTCCGCTTCGTTCATTCAATCTATCACTCATATATAGGAGATAGTTATCAAGAGATTGTCTACCAAGACCTCATTCATCTCACAGGTTGGACCAAACCAATCAGCAAACAATCCTTTTCATTCCACGCAGCAAATTCACAAGCATAGCTCTCATGCGACACGTCATCAATAACGGTAAAAAAGATAGTTTTTCTAATAAATAGAGTCACTCCTCTTCCTATACGCTTTTAGTATCTGTCAGCTCTAACTAATATGAAACTCTCAAAACCAAGTTATATACTGTACATGGACTGCGACAGCAAAGTTTCTGTGACTGTGACTTCGTCCGAGCTTATTTGTACATCTAAATTCGGTTGCTTGTTGAGATGCTCCAATCATTTGTGCAACAGATCTGAAGACCATTTGAATGGCCGTTTGCATCCGAGCGGCACTTCTGACAAGGCCACACGCAACTATTTTTGCCAGACCGCCTAAAAGACTCACGAAAACTTGGTGAAACAATCGTTCGAATTCATCGCACTGCAGGCCACTTTCTACAGAGTATCAACAAACTGGCTGTTGGCAATCGCTTTTCTAGCACTGTACAGTTATCATTTGTAGGTTTTCAGAGGAAAGTCGACACGCAAACTTTACAACGACCGGAGCAACTTATGACCAGATAAAGTGGAAAACTGTAAATTGCTAGAACCAAAATAATAAATGTACTCAAAAGTGTTGATGACAAATTACTTACGAAAAGAACAATACTCCTGACGAATAATTTATCTGAAATAAAATCGATTATGTTGAAAACAGAAGTTTTGATGCTAAATTCACGATCAAAATAAAATCAACCAAGATAGGAGAAACACCAATGTCCTTTTTAAATAGTGCTTGTCTTTCATCCAGTAAAACACTAACATTTGTCACGATAACATAGCTTGAGTGAGACTGAACTCTGAACATAAGAATATTCACCAATAACGAATAGGGTTGGCGAAAATTTTGCAGCTTCCAATGTAAACACACGACCTTGACTGGTAAGTAGGATAATTTCTAACGGAACAAAGTGTAAACACAACTTACACTCCTTAACAGTAGTTAAATGCCAGAATTCATTGTCGGCTGAGCTAGTCTAAGCGACTTCACAGGAGTCCTTCAAGAGAAAACGTGACCTATTCTTAAGGAGTAAGGATGGTATCGTACTATGATTTACCAATTTCTTTTTCCTCTTTTATCGATAATATACCTAGTTTCCTGCCTGGAGATAATAGTTATCCACTTCTACTAGACACGGAAGCCCGTTAAGCGGAACCTACTTTTATTCTTCTTCAGCAACACAACACCGAACTTGTATTCCGTCCAAAACAATCTGTTCAATTTAACCACTTAGCGCGTGGTCTGTCTCTTTGCGCTACCAAGTGGGTAAATATGTTTCTTATTCGTAAAACCTGAAGTGTGGTAGGAGTGTATGCATTAATAAAATTCAAATAGACAAGTGCCAAGTTGAACATTATAGAGAATACGACGCTACAGTTCATTTGCCATGTTATATCTGCGATTTCACTGTTCCCGAGCTCCCAATTTTGGGGAAAATTTGACACATTTTAGGGAAATTCCGGGAAATCCGCCGTAGCAAACTTAGGGTAAATGGCACAAAACCTCAAAATTTTCCTATAACCTTATTGTACTTTGGGGAAGTGGGCTTATTATTTATTGATAAAACCTCAAAATTGTGAAAATTTTTAGGGAAATCTTGAGTTTCCCCCCAAAATTTCCTTTGACTGTGGAATTTTTTTTACCGAAATGTCCCCTGCATTTTGTGTTTTTTCTCAATTTTTCCCCTGACTTTGGGGTTTTACCCCAAAATTTACCTTGAAGTTTGCGCTTTTCCTCAAAATTTCACCATAATCTTACAACAATTTTTGAAAACTCGTTTTCACGCAATACTTCTCCGAAAATTTCTACGGAAATCACGGAAAAACCAGGCAAAAATACATACGTACAGTTTTCACTGCGATGTCACTCTATTTTTTGTCAATTACGCAGTGCCAAAGAAACTTAACGTTAACCGATCTATCGCTGTAATTAAAAGACTGATTCGTAACACATAGAAACGTTTATTACGGTTAATAAAATTGTAAATCATTGACTTATACAAGGTTTCTTTATTGCTTTGTAACATGAGCAGGTTACGTAGACGTTGAACTATCATTCACAATGTTCTACAGAAATAAAAAAATATTTTTGGTTTCTAAGCAAATGTCAAGATATGTAAAACGTCAATGACGTACCAACGGTATAACAATGTTGTTATTAATGCGAACAAAGAACTTACAGTTACGTCTGTTAAAACTTGCAGAGCGAGCTGAAAGCAAGACGAACAAAAAATAACTTTTTTACTGACAAGAAAAAAGTTGTATCAGTATAAATATTGATCTCAAAGTAATAATAAAAGTGCAATATGTATTATACCAAACGTGTAAAGTGCTTTTAGCTCACCCTTTCTTTGGATTACCATCCACGCGTACTTACTTTTTCTCTTGCGTCGTGCAAAAAAGCCTGGTTTGCAACATCATGACGTGTATTACTCCTTTTTCTGGACAGGTTGCACTTCGGAATCGGGAACACAAAGCACCTACAAATATATTAATACAGTAGTGTGGACTTTGAACCGTCCGGTAAAATTTGTTCTTACTAATACCAAATTTACTTTTCGTTCCGTGTAAAGTGTACGTGTTCGCCAGTTCCGGCGACTTAGGCTTTTGCTGATTTGGGAGGGTCATCACATATGAACTCGTACAATCTGGCCACCTAAAATTTGTTCAAACACGTGTTACAACTTGCGAGCTGATCACAGAACTTTAGCTCATCTAAAGCAACTTCAAAAGAACACGACTCATGCATTCTTAGTGCGGAAGCAATAGTTGAATTATCTACTTGCTCGGTACGCCTGTCCATTACACCAATCGATAAGTGTTCATCTAGAGCGATCAGTTTGTCCATCTTGCTAGACAGTTCAGTGACTTTTCAGAATCAGAATAATTATTCTCTGATATATCTAGTGATACGTACCACTATATACATCGCTTCGAATATTTATTCTATATCTACAACAACTGTTTTTATTTGAGAAGCTCTTAAAGTCATGATTTTTAGAAAAAGGTACTGTTAACAGTATGGCAGTATTGCCATATATATGCGTACGAACACTGTCAATGCTAATCGGTATGCCAATCCTACGAGTTTTCTCTGATTTGATGTTTATACTGAAATTTTCTACAGAACCCGTTATTGGTAAGCTTACAGACTGTTACTCCGTCATAAGATACATTTGCTACGTAGCGAACCCGTACGGGTTAATTAACGATAGTATTCAAAACCTGAACTAAGGAAGCCTAATCTGTAACTGTGTTTGGAGGTTCAGTTTACTGACCATTAAAAAATAGCTTCAACTTGTACGTTGTGTTAGCACTTAACTAAGACCGGGACTCAAACAGTAGTAGCAGTTTTCAACTAAGTTGTACTGCTTTTACTTTTCAGAGCTGACTGACATTACTTAGTGTATATGTACAAATTGGGAATTAGTATTATAATCTGTTAATTATCGTGATCATTTTCGTTGTAGTTGTTGACACAAAAAGGTTAGTCGTCGTTTGGTCTTCAATATTAGTATGCTACGATCATCTTTTCTTTGTAATTCAAAAAAATGGAATCTACTGCAAAGACTTGTTCATTCAGAAGCTATTACTTATACTGAGCATGGCGATCCAGAACAGGTTTTACGTTTCTCATCCACTCCAGTACATCCGTTTGCAAATGACGAGGTTTTGGTAAAAGTTTACGCGGCCCCTATTAATCCATCGGACATCAACACGATACAAGGTACTTATCCAATCAAACCAAAACTACCTGCTGTTGCTGGGAATGAAGGTGCGGGTAAAGTAAGCATGATTATTACTCTGTGAGTAGTATGTTACCAACAATAAATGATAATTTGTGTGTTTTAGTTTCCATCAAATCCTGTTTCTATTATCAACCTATTACAACGTCTATTCTACTTTGACTTATCGAGAAGTCATTTTACATGATTTTAGGTAGTATAATTAATTTGCCAGGTACAAACTTATTTAGTTAACTTTAAACCACACTTTGACGGCTAGAAATTTTGTCAGACCACCAAAAATCATAGTAGGAAAACCAACGATCAAGTCAGTACATACTTGGCACGTACATTTACCACCAAATCACCATTCTACTCAAAGCCCATAATATTCTATTGGGTTTTGGTGTCAAACATTTAAAAGGTTAATTTACTGACATTTCGTCCTTCAACTGTGTTCATAAGTGCAGCTTTAAGTTAGGCACACTTTAGTGTTCAATCTATGGCTAATTGCTTTTAGAACTGAAACATATGTCACCGGTATATCAGTCTTTAATTCAAATAATGTAGCTAAGCTCTCCTGCTGTTCAATTCCGGTTGGAACCACAATGGACTTCGGAAATCAAGTATCCATTTGAAACTTTTCCGATGAATTTTTGTGGAAACAGTGTCCATGTTTCATTGTCTCATGTCGCCTAGCATATTTAGTAGGTTTATAGTCAGTTTTGTAGTTATAAGCATACTATCCCATCTGTTTAAACTGTTGCTTATAAGCAATGCAGTGTTAATGTTAGTTAGCTTTGGTTTGAGCGCCCGGGCAGTATCCCAGCCCTCACACAAATCGAATGATTTATGTGGCGCATATATATTTGGTACCTCCTTGTACCAATGTTCATGTGTTTAAATACATAAGTATATAATATAAACAAACGTGTTGATAAAAGTGACTAAATATATCACATAATAATGAGTTAGAAACAGTTACTTGAGTGGATTCACGTAAGATGCCTTGGAAGGTTTCAGTAAACAACAGTTTTTTGGCATTTACTTCGGCGTAAAAACAGCCACGAATTTTTGTATACTCGGTACTAAAGGCTGGAACCCTGTTTACAAAAAACCAATAAATTTCCACCTGTTTTAATGTCACAGTTAAAACCACTAATGTTATTTATTGTCATATCAGATTATTGCGTGTGGGAAGAACGTGGATGGTTTCTCCGTAGGCGATACAGTTATTCCTTTGGAATTAGCGTCAGGGACATGGCAAACATACTGGTGTGGTAAAGCTGACAGTTTCTTGAAGATAAAACATCCCATCCCGATATCTCATGCTGCAACATTAGCAATTAATCCTAGCACTGCACTTCATTTACTCAATAATTTTGTAGAACTTCAAAAGGGCGATACTTTAATTCAAAATGGTGCGACTAGTGCTGTTGGAATATACGTGATCCAAATAGCAAAAATATTAGGACTTAATACAGGTGAGAGTTTTATTTATTTTATCAACTTATCTTGACACTGCCTTCATATTTTATGTGTTTAGTGAACCTGTTTCGTGAAAGAGATACACCTGAAGCCACAGAAGAAACACGTAATCTTCTTAAAAGTTATGGAGGTACATGGTGTCTCACAGAGTCTGAATACATGGAACGAGCAAAAGAAATAGGCCCTTTCAAACTTGCATTAAACTGCTTAGGGGGGAAACCTGCATCGATCTTGGTGAAAAACCTAAGTCATTCCGGGACTATGGTTACATACGGTGGAATGACACGGAATCCAATGTCCTTACCCGTTGGTCCATTCATTTTTAAAGATATCAGTTTACGCGGTTTTTGGCTGTCTAATTTCAATCTACATCAGTCCACTTCAAAAAGACAACTTACTATCGACCAATTATCAAAATGGTTTTCTGAAGATCTCATTAGACCCTCACCATTTGAAGAAATTCCTTTCAAAGAATGGCGTAAGGCGTTACATATGTCATTATTCAGTGATTCAGCACCAACAAGTATTAGAAAAAAGTCTGTTTTGATTATGGAATGATGTACTAATTTCTATTGTAAATTACTATGTAAATTGTATTATTACTGAGTTAGTTGATGTTTTGCTTTTTTATCTCCAGAACTTAAAATTCCTACTGTTTAGATCATACTTATACACCGACTTGTAATTACCATTCTACAAATATTTTGACTTTATTTCAAGAAAATAATTTTCAAGATCACCTTTTTTGTACCTTTACATCTGTAGTATACTGATTAGCGTATAAAGTATATATTGGATTAAGGATTTCGGTTCGTTAATTTAGAGTTTTTTATCAACCAAAATAATATTTGTTGCCTTCAAAGTGTTTATATTCATTGTTGTTTCAAGTCAAAAAAACATTGGTTAGCTCTAGGTTTTGACCGAAGTTTATTGGCCAATATATATATATATATATATATATATATATATATCAGGTAACTTATTGCATGTCAACTTCGTATATTATTTAGGCGGCGGATAGTAATGTTATTATGACTTTTTTTCTTATTGGGAACTAATAAGTATTCGAAAAAAGCAAGAATGGCCATATTTTCAGAATACTATGAATCCACTGTATTTTGTTGCTTTTTTCTTCGTCTGCATGCGGACTAACTCACTGGATTGTGAGTTGAACTCACACGTCTTTTTTTGTCAGAGTTCCTATAAATCTTTTTTACCTTAAATATCCTCGAACTATCACCCGAAGTATTTATAAAAATCCTATTAACACGTTAATTCTTAACATCTTTCACATTTCGAGCAACTTATTTGTTATCAATTGACAATCCACTTTTCAACATTTTGTTAATAGTCGAAAACAATTGAACTTATTAACCTGTATGTAGCTTAAGATAAGGCAACGAAATATAATAAATTCCTCGCCTTCTCTCAAGATCGTTGTTTTTACTTTGTTTAAATTTGTACTGCGAATCAATTGCTTAAAATCAGTTGTTGTTTTCTCGTTGAGAAACTGATTTCAAAACCCCCCACTTCCGAGTTTGAGATCACTATGGAGCGAGTTAATTATTTATTTTAGTCACCTCTTCTAACAGAACTTATTAGTTATTATCAGAGCTTTTTGTGATGATTTTGGATTTCACTGCCGACCAACACCGTATAAACACCATAGTATAGTTGATGACACCATTATGACGCTCATGTTCAGTTTACCACTGGAGACGTATTGGTTTTTTAGCATAGTTCCGACCGTAAGGTAACAAACTTGATCGACAATAACCTAGTTTATACCATTTCAGCATAGATTATTTCTAAATTAAATCTTTGCTGATAAGTACCGACTGGTACGAAGTGTGTATTCAGGGCTTTCTGGCGGTTGCATCCAAACGCTCAAATATTGAACACTGTAACTGATGATTGAATGATTAGCTTTTTTATACAAAAGATAGAAGTTTCTGGTTATATTTCAAAGTATACTATAGAGTGAGGGTGGTCTAAGACTAGTTTTTCGATGACATAACTAGTGAAAAGTAATTTGAAGTTGAGTGTTCAGATGATAAGTATTGCACAGTAAGGTTGAGTCCCTCGAGTTCTTTTTCTTTTGAAGTTCTTCGTTCAACAGACAATGTTTTCATAAAATTGGAAGGTGAAAGCAATTTCGAGGATCTGATTTTACGTAGATTTTTAGTTCACGGGCTAGTGTTATAAAAATCCCACCTCAGTTTCTTAAATATATTTTTAATAATTTACTGTTTGTGTAAGGCGACAAATTGGCAGACAATATATATAGATGCAACAACATATAAACTGTAGAAGCTTTTTAGACCACTATATCTCTTGTCAGTGGTTAAGTTGAAACTTCACGAAGCGTTAAGGAGAACCTAATGCACTTCAAAACTCATTCCTTGTACTATGTTGAACAGGTTACATCCTACTGAAGAGGACACTCAGTCAGTCCTTCGACTTTTTCAGCTCAAACGCACCATAGAATGCACATAGACTAGCCTACAAAATCCTACTATCTCTGGTCTGTTTTTCTTCATAGTATATTTGCATTTGCATCTTAATTGTATGTCATATCATTTTAGCGACCAACGGAATACAAATGAATTATCTTAGATAAATAGATTCTCAAAGGATGTAAAAGAATAAATCATGGTATGTTTGCAAGAATATATCGAAATAGTAGTATTAAAGTTTCGATAAGATACAGGTTATTACTCGTTCCCAAGTGCGTGGTTTATAAATAGTATGATGCAACTTGAGCTACTTAATAACAACAAGTAGTATGGCTTAACACACAAACTTAATTTCCTCCCAAGTTGTGTACCCTGTTTTTATTGAATTTAGTACTCACTCCAATCTACTTTCAACTTCTCATAGACTATTTAACATTTCGATAAGCTCGGGAAAATAAAGCCAGTTCAGAAAGAACTTTTATTTTGATAATAGGTTCCTGTGATTTCTTGACTCATTGCTTACACATCTTCAACACTAAAAATTCAAAACTACCTTGATGGTTGTTCAACACAGATACCATAATGCTTCTTGTGCTACAGTTCATATACAAAAATTTCCTTACCCGCTTTACATTTTATCATTATTCTCGACTAATACTGATTGTAGATTTTTTACTTAAGTAAAAACGCACTTTCATGTCATACTTACTGAGTATCTTTCTCATTTCTTCTGACATTTCTTTATGATGAAGGGATACCATAGACTTTAATCTATGTTTATAAGTAATTAATTGCCCTAAGTATAGATATGTCTAATTACATATATTATCATTTCTCTACTGTTTACAAAAAGATGGCTAACTACTTGTTAAAAACTTCCGAGTCTGTTACATTAGTATTTAAGATGGTGATTCTGAAGGACATGAAACTATCAGTTTATAATATCTCAATAGTTCATCAACGCTCAGTCAACCGTAGTCAAGGAGGAGCATGGGATTAGCTTGAAAGTAACAATTTATTTCTACGAGATAGATGTTGGTAAGAGTGAAGTAAATAAACTGGTTAGATAGAGAGTATATACTAACAGCATAACGTACACGACCAGATCCAAAATAACATGGCTGATTATCCATATACCATTGGTTATTTTCGTTCGTGAGATCGAATTTTCAACAATTATTTAACTAACTGTCATGTATAATAAAGATATATTTATAAGTTACTGACGTATGTTTTAACTTTTGGTTCAAATATTGTTATAAATTTGATGTTTCGAAAACGTTAATCTTAGTGTGATTTCTCTCCCTTCATGTATTAAAATAGTTGAGCTCCTCTAACTCTTAATCAAAACGCCCACCCAAATTGTTGAATAGATCTGACCAGAAGGCTAGCAAAGCTACGTCAATAAATGGCTTTGCATTACAAAAATATATTGTGAAATTATTTTACGTCTTCTTAAAAAGTCATTCTGTGGTCTACGAGCAAAGATAGATGTTGGCTAACAGTGAAGTCCAGGATGCGCGTTTTTGTCTTATTCAGTACCCGTCAGGTGGATGTACCTGCAGCCGAGTTCTTCGGTACTCACGAAACTGATGTCTCTTCTAACAAGCAGAGCAAAAATTAATATAGGTACATGAAATGTTCAGACAATGTGGAAGACCAGGAAGACCAATGCAATAGCTGCAGAAATGAGGAGTTATTACTTGATGGTGCTAGGAATCAGTGAAAACCATCGGACCCAAGCTGGACAGAAAAGATTAAATTCAGTAAAGGTGGTGCTGTACTCTGATCATGAAAAAGAAAATGCTTTACACATGCAAGGAGTTGCACAGACCAGACCAAAACATGGCATAATTCCATGTAGTCACTGACAAGTGGACTGAGCTATTTTGGTAGGTGCGACTACCTGGTTGGGATCCACGAGATGATAGCAACCGACGGTTAGAGACCTTGAATGACATGGCTCGAAATGGTTTGCAATAGCGCAGGTGCATCCACTCTTTTTGTTCTCCCGAATTCTAATCTCTTGAATTTTGCATGTTTCTTTTTTTTCTTTTTCCAAATTTATTTCACTGAATTATACTCCTTGAATAACATCTTCAAACCCTAATCTTTCCTATTACCGCTTATAATTTTATTACCTGTATCACTACGGGATTTGAATCGACAATTGTATCTGTGTGCTCTGCGAATATTACTACCTTTTACTCTTACATGATAACTGTTTACCGAGAAATTCGGAATTATCATCGATGCGCTCAATATCAGAATAGCTCTTTCTAATTTATGCTAGATATATGTGGTATCAGTTCGTGAATTTATTGGCAGTTGACTAGAAACTTGTTGCTTGATGTGAGATTCTAGGTTGCTGTCCACGATATAACTGTAATTTTTGGTTTGAGATGATGGGTCCAAAATTAGTTGTTCTGGTGTGTGTGGTTCATTTTTTATCTTCCAAAAATTGCGTACGTTATCTATATACGAAGTGTGGGTATATGTACTCGACAGTAAGCTACAATTTATGTGATGACTAGTGATATTACTGGTTAGGCAGAAGTGAAATATTTAGAGTATATCTCTAACCTGCCACTAGTTGAAAACTATACGATTCAACCATCAGACCACTACTCTACCTGTAAAGTTTGAGTTTAGTGTCATCCTCTTGATTTTTGGGTTTGACTGCATTGAAATCATGATTCGGTCTAAGTTAGACAACCATTAAAAACCTGGAAGCACTGGGCGGCCGTTTCGTCCCAATATGGTACTCATCCTCAGCATCGCACACTCACGACCCTGCAGCTGAGAACCGAACCCAGGACCCTCGGTCATGTGCACGAACGCTTGACCTATAGACCACTGGTTCAGTATTGTTAATATCTAAATTCAATAAATCCATGACATTGCGCGGCCAACTTACATTGTTTTCAGTGAGTAACTGCGTCATATACATGGTTTAACACCACTGGTCACAGCTTCTCATTAAAACTCTGTAAATTTCTCATACTAGGACGAAACAGCTGTTCTGTGCTTCCAGATTCTCAATGGTGGTATGACTTAGATTAGTTCATGATTCCAATGAAATTCAGTCGTCTTCACAACATA